TTGTCAACAAACTTAATAGTGTGGAACCCACAATAGACTATACCTTTGAACCTGAAGCCAACTACACTCTTCTCTTCCTAGATATAATGTTACATAGAAACAACAATGAACATAAACTTGATGTTTACAGAAAAGCTATCAGCAAGAACGACCAGGTCAACTTTTATTCCCACCACTCTAATAAGATTAAATCTGGTATAATTATAGGTTTCTACCCAAGCGCATTAAGAATCTGCAGCCCTAATGCCTACCCAAAGAAGAAACACACAGAAAACACATACAAAAACCTCCAATATTTTTATTCATTTTGTTCTTTCACTGATACACTCAACCTGAAAATAATTTACATATACAAAGATTGGTTAAACAGGTCAATGGATAGGTTACTGGAGGTTAATGCATTCAAGACAAGCAAATTTTTGCAATTAAAGTGCTCAATAAGAAAAATAGAGACCAACTACAGTGCAAAAAAATAGATAAATAAAAGTTCAAATGACATATTCCAACTTTCATAGATTTGATTGTCAGGACAAGATATATCTATTTAATTTAAGATATCACATTTATTATTTAGGATTTATTTTAAATATGTTGCATAAAAGAACATTTTTATGTAATGTATTTAAAATAATAAATGTTATATCTGTTAATGAATTTAATAGATTTATCTTATCCTGGTGAATAGAACAGTGTCTCTGTGAAAGCTGAAAGATAAGTAATTTAAACTGATTTATCTATTCACTATATAAATAAAACAAACTTAATAAGAATATCTTGTGAAGAAATTCAAAATCTCAATATATCAAAGCAGTTGACTGCAATCTTTCCACAGATTTTTGCCTTGGTGACACTTTAAAAATAAAAAAGAAGTTTGTTTTTGCACCTTCTTAAGTTTTGTTAACCAAACAAAGTATATAATTTAAAATGTATATAAAAAGAAATAATCAAATGAAAAATTTAGTTAATAATTAAAGAAAGAATAAAGTGTTGTGATATAAGCTTGGAAAGTTCTAAACTCACCATAAATTTAACATTGAAGCATCAAGGTATCACATGACCAGGTGATACATTGATTTAACTGTCATCTATGAAGCATTTTCAATTTACATATATTTATTTTATCAAGCTTCTTGTTATTCTGATAGTTTTAATCCATTGAGAAACCTAGAAGTTGTTTTTATTGCAGATTAACTTTAAGAATTGGTAACTTATTAACAAAACTTTTTAAAGCAAACAGACTATTTTGGGCCTTGGATAAATTGCTCTAACCTTTGGTAATAAAAGAAACTATTGTTAGTTTCACTAAATTAACTCTTAATTTAGATACTCAAGTGTTTTTCCAGAGGAGAGACTCAACAGCAATTAAATAAAACATTTGTTTTCTTAGGAACAAACATAAAATGTTGATCACTTCCAGATTTTATCAAGTAATTGGCTTTTAAAATTTGATTAAGAGAAAAGAAAATAAAAAACATAAAAGTTCCATCTTTAGCAAATCTTGAGAGTAACTAAAAAAGGATAAAAATCCAATCATTCGAGAAGCTTTTCATTATAAAGTGAAAGAAAAGAAAATTTGAGGTTTGTTATCAAATGAGAGAGACAGCTTTTTACATAAATTATGATATTTATACAGATGAAATAATCCCAAACTTAAAAGTTGTTAGCAGAATTAGTATTGCGGAAAAGTACTGTATTTGATTGCATACAAGACTGCATCACCATCATTTAATATTTACAGTGTCATGATGTTAAGCTAGTCTCCGATGTCTGGTTAAACTTTAGCCATCCAGATACCTCAACTTCATACAAGACCCAGGAGATATTTGACTTTGAGCCTTTTTTTTTTAGAGCATAAAATAGGAGGGGGTCTTATGTCATCAAATAGAAAAAAAATGGAGTGCCCATAAAAATCATCTTTTTTCCATTTTCAAACAAGATTCAGGATTGTAAAGATTGATTAGTTAATCTCTCAAGAGTCAAGATCAAGGATCATTTTTAAAACTTTGGTTTTCAAATGATTTTAGAACTCCCTGGATACAGTGAATTAAAATGAATGTTTTTGTTGTTTTGGAAGAAATTGTCTGGAATTTTGAAATACGAGTCTCAAGTTTTCCAGCACACACAAGAAAATCATATTTTTAGAACGGTATTCTTTAAATTTAAATAGGTGTATGCAGCCTTTAAATGATTGGTTTACTTTTACAAATATAGACGTAAAAAAACCATTCATAAAAATAAACCAACTATTTCCTAAATCAACTTACTTGTATATGATTTATGATTTCTCAATATGGTTTAAAAAAAGCTAATTCCATAGGCATTTTATTTTTAATTCTACAAGCAGATTAGAATTAAAAATTGAGGCCATATTTATAATTGGTGTCATGCCCTTGCAGAAATACCTTTCTAAAAACATTGGGCTGTTAAAAGGTCCCTTACACAAATTCACTGTCTATATTTCTGAGACGGAGTATTGTAATAATAATTATTACATTATTTACGTCGTGAATATGGCAATAAAGATGACAACAGTCCGAACAATGTAATTGTAGTAAAATAATAATGTGTAAAGCAATTATTCAATTAAGCTTTTTCAATCATATTTTTTTTTAAATTTCTTGGAATTATCAATGACCATACACAGAAAAAAATTATTTTATTTCTAAAAAAAAAAAAAAAAGGCATTTCCTCCTCATTTCTCAAAGAATAAAACTGGTTGGGGTGCATTGACATAAAAAATGCACTGAATTCTTTCAAGTGCAATTTCTCTTGAAACTGCGTCAATTAAATAAAAACTCCTTTTCAGTCAAATAAAAATGTAACTGATTGAAAGCAAGGAAGATTGAGGGCAGAGCTTTTTAAAAATTAAAAAAAAAATGTTTTGTTAAGTCTAAAATAATACAAATCCCCCAAAAATTTCAACATGTCCAATGACTTTCTTTTTTTTTATAACGATCTCTAAAAACTAAAAAGTGTTTTCAAATTTGTTTAATTTCAAGTTTTAAAGTTAAACTTAAAAAAAAAAAAAATAACCAAGTGACGTTTTATTTTTTTTATTTCTTAAGGCAGAAATAACAGACATTCTGATTTGAAATTCAAAACTTATCAAACTGCTGTTTTAGAAGGAATGTCAAGTGATTTTCAATAACACACACAAATCATTCAAAGTCAAACGTTTTTGTCAATTTATGACTTTTTCGTTTAAAGTCGTAACATTGGGAAATCCATTAATTCATAAAAAAAAATGTTTTTTGTCTATTTATAAAAAACGAAAAGAAAAAAACAATTTATTGCCAAGTAAGTAAAACTAAAAAAACATGAACAAATTAAATTTAACTTGCTACAAGGAAATGTCCTTTTCTTTTTTAAGTGCTTCATTGTTTCAACAACTGATTAGAACAGGAAAGAAAAGGTCAAAAAGAAAAGAAAATCTAGTTGACGATGTGAAACTTATTCGTGAGTCAATTTGGAGGAGGATAAAAAAAAGATGACACAAAAATGAACATAAAAAGGCCGACTTGCAACAGCTGTCGTCACCAACAAACCTTTAGGAAGTTTTGTTTTGATTCAGTCAGATCAAATTTTAGACAAGTACAAATTTAGTACAAAACAAACATTTTTTATTGGGTTCACAAGACTTGGATTTTTAATGTAAAATATCGATTGAATTTATTTTAGAGAAACTGATTTTTTGGCAGTTTGTAAAAAATAAAAACAAACAAACAAATTGACATAAAAAACACAACATTTAAAAAAAAAACTTTATTAAAAATTAAGCAATTTGTTTGATTATGAATTTTAAAATGAATTAGAATTCAACTTCAAGCTGCAAATTATTTTTTTTAGTTAATTTGCTTAGATTCTTCATTGTAATATTTTTTTTATTTTGATGCAAAGTAAAAAAAAATCTATTGAAAATAAATGAAGAAGGCCATTAATACGAATTATTCCCCACTTAAGTCAAGCCTGGCACAAGGCCATTTTAAACTCACTCAAATTATCTGTCATTTTTTCACATTTTATTCAAATTATTACATTTACAAACTAGAATACAAAACTCCAGTTTGATCTTTTTTTTTTTTTTTTTTTTTAGAGATCCTGACGTGAAAAATCAATAATCAATATTTAAAGATTTTCTTTTAAGTAAGTAGATAATTGATTTCAAAACTCAGGTGCTAAAACAAATCAATAAACATTAGACATGCACTTCGCTTAAATAGCTAGGGTCTGGAATTAAAAATAAATTTCAATGTTATTCATGTAATTATTAGCCATCTCGATCAATTCGATATTTTCTAAATTTTAGGATATTTTTAAGCACCTGATTTAAGCTAAAAAATTACAAGTTATTTGTTTACCTTCTTGCATAATTCGTTAACGTAACGTAATTTTATGTCAGTAGATAAGTTATGATAAAAAGAGGGAATAATTAAAAAAGCAATTAAAAATTGATTGATTTGATAATGACTATAAAATAAAAAAAATAATCAGTCATCCTTTTTTTAAGGGAAAAGGTGTCAAATAAAAACAGATCCATCCTAAACATTTTTTCATGTTTATTTATTTTTTGTAGCTTGCATTTCTATTTTTCACTACTAAACAATCACGTCAGCTGTAATATTGAAAAATGCTCCCACTCCTCTTTTTACTTAGAAGCAGTAATAAGGGTTCGACGTTAAGGATTATTTCGTTTAAATTTACTTTGATAACAAATGATCTCAAGCGCTGAACTTATCCCCAAAATGAAGAGTTATAGAAAAATAACCTGGAATATATTTTCTATTCTGGCATGGGGAGAAGGAAGTCGTCAGATGAAAAATTCCAATATTTAGTTTTTAGTAGGTGAACAATACAGTGTGTGAACACTACAATAGGGAATTAGTTCGCATTTCACTCAAATCATGTCATCCAATAAAATAAAATAGAAGACATTTACATACATGAATAATAAATGCGAATATAGCAATAAAATATTATAAATCTGTGATAAGGAGACTCACCTGCCGAGAAATCCGGTAATCCCGTGGCTCTTGCGCTTTGTAAAGTCACGATTTTCTACTTTTTTTTCCTGAGATGTCGATGAAGACGATGACGACGAAGCAGATAGACTCCTTATTGGTTCATAGGAATTTCTAGAGAATAAGTTTACCTCGACCAGGCTAGACTCCAAAGAATCAGCTACTTTGCTCTGGTTGGAGGTTTTAGACTTGGCTCCACAACCGAAACCACTTTCGAGCCCCCTGCACGAGGAATGGTGAGGCTCATCACCATGGTAGTTGACACCGGACGAAGAACAACCGGAGGGTCCAGCAGAGTAATCGTCCGAGCCTACTGATCCCCCACAGGCAAGATCTGTGCCAGTACTGAGACTGGAAAGGCTGGAAGCATCCACCTGGTGCAAAGATCCTATTCGAACCTCACTATAATCTCTCCCGCTTAGGCTAGATAAACTGGATGCGTCCACCCGATGCAGTGACGAGCTATTCAAACCAGGATCAATTTCTGTGTAGTCCCTCCCACTTAAACTGGACAAACTTGAAGCATCAACTCGATGCAACGAGGTGCTAAAACCGGGCTCAACTTCTGCATAATCCTTAGTGCTACTCAGACAATCTTCATCAGTTGGAAACTTGCGAGTCATAGGAACATATTTGATGTCTTGCTGGGGGTTGTTGCTGATATTGGTGACTCGTGGCCAGTCCTTGGACACCAGCTGTTTTGTGGTCGGGATGTATAGTAACGGAATGTTCTCAAGCACGGTGGACAATTTTCCGTTTTTGCCAACCATAACAGTGACATCATCAATTGGAGACATTGAGGGGGTCGTGGCACAACTAGTACCTGGAGTGGCGATGTTACTGTTATGACTACCCACACTCATGCTGGTAACACCACCAGCAGCGGCAAAATTACTCTCGACCATTTGTGTAAGACCATTGGTCAGAGGTAGTTCCAAACTCCGGTTATTAACCAGATGTGTTTTAATATTTTTATCTCGTCCCTTCCGACTGGTATCTCCTTTCACGCTCGAAGTTGTTGACAATGTCTGTTGAAAGGTACTAGCCTCAGCTGAAATTGGAGTACCACGAGATGCAGCTTGGGGATGTAAGGAACTGAATTGGTTCTGCTGTTGCTGCCGCCGTTGTGGGTCATGCTCATGGGATTTTGAATCGGAATTTGAGAGCACTTGAGATTCATTCAATTGTTTGGTAATATCACTGTTGATACTATCATCGCCATCGTCTGAATTCAAATCAATCGATGACAAACGATCAACCTGTTCAGACATGGGTCCATCACTCAAATTTTCAGTTTTCCACTGCCTACTGCCATTTTCCAAGTTCTTTGGAGATGGCGCTGCCGCTGGGTCAGTGTTGCCACCATTAGTCTTGTTAACGTTGCTACAACCATGTTTAATATTTTGGATTTGTCTGTCATTGGCAGACCTTGTGCAACTTTTGGGAAAAAAAGGAATATTGTGGCCAGAGATGCCACCAGTTGTAGTATTAACTGAACTATTAATTTCAGTACCACAGCGTAAAATACTAGTTTTGATGCCATCACTTCCATTAATGTCTGGTGTAGATTTTACTTCTGCCCCGTTTCCTTCACCGGCGATCGGGGCAGCGACGAATAAGCCATCCAGATTTATTTTCACGGGATAAGATAAGTCCTTGTAGCAGTTTGTTGTAGCTTTGTCAGAAATTGTGTTAGTCGATTGAATACGCGATTTAAGGGATGCTATATCGTCGTGTGTGTTGTTGGCGAAGAGTTTCACGACAGGAACAGATAGATCGCCGTCAGACAGTCGGAGATCAGGCGGAGAAGCTGTGGCAGTGAAGTCTAATTCACCTTCCATTGCCGGTTTCATTATTTTTATTCTGCTAGTGTAAGAAGTGCCCGATGATGATGGAGAAGACGACGACGGTTCAAAACACTTTCCCATTGTTGACACGGATAACTTTTTCCGTGGGTGACAAGATATAACACTAAAAAGGAGGAGACGACAACGTATCCAGAAATGAAAGAGGGAAATCCAGCGTTTAATAAAAATGTCACAGACTTGGACAAGGTTGGCGTAAAAAAGAGTATGAAATATATTAGTAATATTAAAGGTTTGTGAATAGAGTTTAATGAGAAGTGGTGGTGTTGGATAATTTTGTTGTAGTAGAAAAGGCGTTGAAGAGAAAACAAGAGAAAGGAGAGGCGAAGAAGAGCAAGTGTAGTGAAATGTAATCTGATTAAATTCAATAAAGGCATCTTTTTCTCCAATATTCAGAGGCATGGGCCTTTCAGGATTTCTGCCTCTTCTACATTTTGATTAAGAACGAGATAACTACTACAGTAAAAAATAGGGTAGAGAATAAATATACCCACCCACTATGCAAGTAGTAGTGATATTTTACATCTTTTTTAGTCCATAGTTGTTGTGTTGGTAAAATCCACTAAACCTCTTCATTCTTGCGTTGACAGACACGGCACTGAATAATACTTTTTTTCCCCACTAAAAAAAGAAAAAGAGACAACTACTCCTACCTTTACAACATAGGTTTGTTTGGAGAACTGTAAATATACCTATATTTATCTTTTTTTCTTCTTTCCTCTTGGTGCGTGTGTTGTATCTTCTTGGTCTAAGTGCGCGGATCTCTCTCTCTCTCTCTCTCTCTCTCACATCGCTATGCCTACAACTTGAAAGCTGACACCGCTGACTACAACAACAAAAACTCTAAACAAACAACAGTAGTGGGGGTGGGGAGAAGAAGTTACGTTGCTATATTTTAATATGCTAATGAGATTGGCGGGCACTTGTCACTAATAAAGATGAAAAAAATTAAAAATGATTTATCCAGAAAATACTTGTTTAATTAATTCTTCTTTATCAAATACGCAGAGAATGACATTAATTCACATAAATGTCTGCTGAAAAAGTTTTCTGCGAACCTACTGCGCTAAGCTTGTAGAAAAAAAGCCTATGTTATCCATTTATCAAATACGGAAGACTGATAGTTACGTATTTTTTATACAATCAAGATAATTTGGTTATCTTAAATTTAAATACTAGATTTTTTTTAGCAAATAGAACGCATATTAACTTTTGAACAAAGGGATGATTATAAATCGTTTTTTCACTTTTTCTTTCTTTGAACTCTTTCGGTCGGGTAATTTATTTTAAAAAAATGATATATTTATTTTTATTTTATTTTCACGAAATTTAACACAGTTCTTTTTACTAATTAAATAATAAATATAAAGCATAAAAATATTTCGTAGATTTAAGTTTCGGATGTAAGCCAACTAAACTACAATATTGATATTTTTCAGCTTCCGTATCTCACACCACACCACCAATTTTTGAGGACCTCAAAAAAAGGTAAACTAAACAAGAATTATTACGTATTATCTAAATTACATTATTTTAAAATTTTATTTAATAATTAATGCCCCTAAAGTTTTTGCACCCTTTAAAAAATATATACATTTAAAAATAAAAAAAAACAAACAATTATTTGTTTTTTTTATATTTTGTATATTTTTGGTGTTATTATGAAAGCATTTATATAAATTCACAGTTAAAAATTATTTTAGGGGGAAAATATTTGAAAATGCAATTTTTTTTCCAAAAATTATCAAACAAAAAATAAAAATTTTTTTTACTTGAACTACCAGAATGCATTGCGATAGCGCCATTTAAGAATCAGCAAAGTACAACACTTCGAAACTAAACAAAAATGTTTTCTATGAGAAGAATGGTTCGTGGCAATGATGCTTCAAATTATTAAGTAATTATACTGAGTTTATTGTTTTGGGTATGTTGTTTTATGTTTGGTTTGTCGTTTTTCTTTATCGATCGTCTTAAAAATATATTTGTTGGCATTTTTCTTCCATCGGAACATCAAGCTGATTTTCAGAAAATTAATTATTCAACAATGTCTTACTCTTGTCTTAATGTTTATATTAAAAACATTCATTAATAAAAACAATATTTTTACGAAGCAGAAAATTTATGTCAATAGTTCTCTCATATAACGACCGATTTTAAATTATATTGAAAATTTGTTAATGTTCTCAAAAAGTAATTTGTAAAAAAAAGAAAAAGTCGTCCTAAAAGTTCGGTCACTGGAGAGTGGAGACTGTACTTTAAAAAAAAAACGTTTTTTTTTTTTTTTTTTTTTCTCTCACCAGATTCTGATTATTAGCAAAAATTTAAACCCATGAACATCCAATAAAAAAATAACGTATACAACTTATTACCAAATGGTTTAGTAATGTTATTTTATATTTATTAATCCATAACTCTGGTAGTTTGAAACCGAATTTATGATGAGACCATTATTAGACAAGAAGAGGCCTTAATTTTTTTTTTTTTTTTTTTTTTTTTAAGACTATTCAGGTTCTTTTGCATATGCTTTACCTAAATCGTAAATCTTATCGTAACAACTTATTTACTTCATGCCCACTCGAACGGGATATGCCACAAGACTAGTCTGAAAGTAGGCCGCCCACTTGTATGGGATTAGCAACAAAAATGGCTCTATCTTCCTCCCTCCTTCCTGGCTCTTTACCTTTTTTTTTTTTTAGAATACCTAATGAGCCAAATATTAACTGATTCTCCTCCTACTTTTAATAAAATTGGGAAGGTGTTGCCATGACCCCCCGTAAAACCACTGAAGTTGACCATAATATCAATCGGAGTCTTGGCATTAAGGCCAGTTTTAGGTTAAGAAAGGGTCATGAAGATTGACCTTTTTTCCAAAAGGAGTGGTTCAACATTACAAGAAAATCTAAATTCGAAACTTGCTTTTTTTTTTTTTTTTCGTTTTTATCTGGACTCCAATATTGATACCGTTAAGACATCCGTAACTATTTATTTCTGCCACAAGGCAGCTACCATCTACTTTCTTTGTTAAAATCATGTAACCATAAAAAACACTTTTTGTCCTTTAAGAAGAGTAAGTAAGAAGACTGTCATGTCTCTTTTTCAGATGTGTATGTGATAATGGCTCTCTACAGCTTCTTTATTATCGAGAATTGCCATACATTCTTAGAAAAGAGTGGAGTGGTTTCTCATTGCCTTCTCCAAAGTTTGGAATTCAGAGTTTTCTTTCTCTGAGACTAGATGTGACCCAAAGCTGGAGAGCCCAGTCTCTTCTGCTATTTAACCCATAGCTGAGGGAAGAAAAGAGGGATTCGTGCTTTTCCAAAAGTCATTTGTGTAAAAACTAATGCAACAGACTAGTTTGGAATTTGAATCCTGCTTGTCAACTTCACTTTTTACGTTGATATGTTATGCTACTTGAGCATCATTTTAAGATTGATTATTAATTGAAAAATGAATGTACAATTTGGAAAAATGAGTTTATTATTTATTTAATGTTTGGATTTTAATATATAATAGAATGTTTATATATATATATATATATATATATATATATATAACAATTGCCTATTTTTCCTTGCTCTAATAATTGTAAAGTTAATTTTGATAAAATTCTTGTTTGCTCACACAGCAAATGCAAATTATTTTAAGCATTCTTTGTCTTTATGCACTTGTCACATGGTATCACTTCATGAGTTGTACAGCATTAAAGTGCTGATTTATTTCTACAAAATGAATAGCAATACAAAACATTTTTCAATCAGGATTTCACCTACAGTTATTCTACATTTGCAGCAAGTCATCTTTTCTTGCTTTGAAGTATTCTTAAATTCAAAGAATCACTAAATTCATTTTTTGTTTTTTTTGTTTTTTCAATTGACCTCAATTAGAGAAGCCTTTTAGATTAAAGAAATTGTTTAAACGATTGTAATTTTTTTAGGGAGGTTGGTTTAATAGTTGGGTGAAATAAAGTTTCTATCTTAAAATGATTTAATTTTAGGATAATTTTTTTTTTTTTTTAAGTATTTGATGCTGACTTTGATGCTTTTAACATCCTTTCTAGTCACTAAAATAAATAGTGAGTTTTGTATATACTGTTTAAAGTTAAGTCAACAATGATCAAGTTGGATTTCAGTTTTATTTAGCTTACAACTTCCTAATATTTTTTAAAATTTATTGTAAAGTTTTCTAAAATTGCTTTAATCTCTTTAAAAAAAATTAAGTGGTATGCTTTTACTCTGTTGTTGCATTTTTACATTTTTTTTTTAACAAATAAAACACTTGATTCTTTTTAGAAATTATTAAATCTTTTAGTTGTGACATTTGTTTTAGACAAAGCTTATTAGTGATTAATTTTTTTAGAAAAGATTGTAGACCCTTTATTATTGGTTTATTAAGTTGCTGTGATAATTCATATTTAATTCTTATTAAAAGTCTGTATGCAAATTTAAAATTTGCATATCTTTTTGTCCACTGTCCTGCAGGATTAGGTACTTCTTGTACTTATCAAAAATATATGCATGAGTTAAACCACAATACATAGGATGATGCCTTTCTGCTTAGAGTATTATCGTTGCAATATTATAGAGATATATTAGGGTGTCTCTTATTTTTGAAGTGCATGCTGAAATATAATTGTCACCCTTAAATTTGTTCCATTTATTGATAAATACCACATGTAATTTTAATGAGATTGCTTAATATTTAGAGGAAGACTTTGTTTGTTAAAACTTAAAAGAGGGACAAAAAAAATACTTTTTTTTACAATTAATAGCAAGCCATTTAGTTGAATCTTTACAAATTATACACATTAGAAAAGTAGAAACACTTTTTATCCATCAGTGAAAAATTTAAATTTTAACCGACGTTTATTATTTTCAGATCCCAATTATGGCAAGTGTATCCAATGAGAAAGCAGAAAATTGTAGTTTGGAAGTTTTTTTAAGATTTCTGATGATAACCAAAGTAAAGCAATGTGTCAAGTGTAGCTAGGTATTTAAGTGATTTACGTAAAGAAATTGTTCTCTTTATTGTTTAAACTCTTCTTCAATTTTTTTTAAATAAAAGGATATCTAACTTTATTTCATAAGCTTTTGTATTCATTTTTCTATTAAATGTTTTATTAATAAACGTACTTTGTTCATTAAGTTTCCGAAACCAACTGTAGAGCCTGAAAATGATGAATTTTAATCATTATAGGAATTGGAAATTTAGAACTATACTGGAATCCGTAAAAAATATTGGTATTGTCCTATCACTAATATCGAGAACAGTTTTAGAGGGAATATGACAAAGTGGGGGGAAAAAGTTTGTGTGCTGAGTTTTGTCCCTTAGGGCTTCATTGGCTTTGGTTTGTTTACATTGACTACTCATGCACAGAAAATGCAAATTGCTAGAAATGAATTTTTTTTTTTTTTCTTTAACTGCTTATCTTAATTTTGTTCATTTCTCTATTAAATGTCATCAAATTACTTCCCACAAAGAAAACCAATTTCTGCATAGGATTGGGATGGGTTTGTGTTTGTTTTTGCTTCATTATCACATTTAAATTTACTTTTTTATCAGTCAAAATGACTGCATAAAAAATTCTCTGAATGCAAATAGTTTGCCTTTTGTTAATCTTTTGAGAAATACTATCTCTTAAACTGTATGCACTTAGTTGAATATTTCCATTTATTAGAATAAATTGATAGACTTTTACAGATTCATAAAATCTTTCTTTCTTTTTTTTAAACAGGTTCCAAAATAGAGGGATAATCTCATGGTAAGAGGTTTATTTTTTATTAAAATGCCTTTAAAGAATATAGCTTTGGTACTATTTGCTCTGTTTCTTATATTGCGGGCTTGAAATATAAAATTCCCAAAGACTAGTTTAAGAATTTAAAACAAAACGAACTTAGTCAAAAGTTTTAAAATGAAGACATCTAAACAATATCACAATTGATGTATTAAAATCTATTTCCAATATTAACACTTTTTTAGAAAAGCATTTCACTTAAATTCAAGATGAAAAAAAAATTTATTGTATTTAATCAATTTAAATTTAATCAATTTTTTTAAGTCAAAAATGGGAACAATAGTACAAATAAGATATCAAAGAAAAGTCTATCTGAATTGAGCACTTGACCTGAAATTTATAACAAAATGTCTATTCTCTGTTCATGCCTACTTCAGATTTGTCTTTTTCTTATTTTAGTAATATACATAGGTGTGATCATGTCTCTCTCCACAACTCTCCATATACTTTAAGTATAAGTGTCCTTTTGCAAATGTATAAAATATCATCTTCCTTTCTACTCTTCTTTATTTGTTTCTATAATGTCAGTAATTTTAAGAAATGCTCTTTTTGATATAATGTATTTCTGTTTTCAGCATTCCAACCGCCCTCTTTTTTCTCCCGAGCCATCATCTGCTGGTGAATATGTATTGGTTGTCCTGGCATTACTTAATAATTTTCATAAAACTTTGCGCGAAAAGCAAGCTCAGTGTCTGAATAAAGTACGTTGGGGACAACCAGTGATCCCAGGCAAACATGCAAGTTTCACAATTGATCGCAAACATCGTGGTAACCCTAACCTGTATGATACAGACCCCAATGCTGCAGAGTCAGATGATGATGCAGAAATTGAGGGAACCCTACAGCCCAAATCGGCCCCTTGTGGAAACGAGGATTCGAATGTTGTAATTCATCCTAAGTTGCTTGAAAATGAAGAAAGGAAGGAAAATTTTGTACCGACCCACGAACAAAATGTTCCAGTTCAAATAGAAAACCCTTTAAAGTCTGTTCCTTCCCTCTCAAAAAGTTGCCTACATTCCAATCAAGAAGAAAGTCCAAAGTATAAAACCAAGAAACTAAAACTCTGTAAAAAATTGAGCAATAAAGAAAATCATAAGCAAAATGTGAAACTTCGTTGTTTGCAACGACGGAATTTATTTAGGAAATCTCAGCAGGAATCTTCTGTCGTTCTTCCTTCCAACCATGAAAGCCAAGATGTGAATTTGAAACAAATGCAAGCTTCTCTTTCCAACATTCCATCTAATGGAATAATAACAACCATTTTACCTGATACAAATATGGCTGAAGGTCAAGAAGAAAATCTCTCTCCTTGCGATCCCTTGTCTGGCTCAGTTTCTAAAGAATCTACTTTAGGTAAAAAGCGCTCCTCGCCTCCAAGAACACCAAACTGTGAAAATGAAAAAGCTAGTCCACTCAGAGAAAACAACCCATCAAATCTCTGTGAAATTCGATCAAGTTCTCCTGTTTTCTCTGCCAATGATTCTCCATTTAGAAATTCTGAATTTGTTTCTCACCTCAAAGACATTTCCATGGCAAAGACTGAAGAGTCTACTGGAAGTGTTACTTCTGTGACTAATACAGAAGGAACAAGTAGTGAATGTCACTTAAATCCCCAATCTATATTGCTGGAGATTGAAGGTCAAGAGGTTGTCGAGGTAGTTGATAGTCAGAAGAAGAAAAGTGAAAAGACAAAACAGGTGGGTGTTTTTAATTTTTTTTTTTTTTTTTTTTTTTTTTTTTTTTTTCTTCTATTTCATTTCCGAGTCAAGAGAATGGTGGATTTTGTACATTTTGTTTCCTCTCACAGATCAACTGTCACATTATTGACTGAACACAAAGACTGGGGATTGGCAAACTACATCCTACCTTGTGATTTCATACAACGGACAGACCATAAGGAATATGCTATTATAGTGAAATATTTTATATTTTTCCTTTTAAATTATGTGTAAAATAAATGTTGGCTGTATCATTGAGGCCTTCCCATGTACAATTAGATTGATTTACAGTCAGATGAAAATATTCCAGATGAAGGATTTTTAGAAATTCTCCTGCCCAACATTTTGACCCTAAATTAGATGTGGTAGAGTTGCTGTTTTCTAAATGTATCAGTTAATACAGTCTTGTCGTTTACATTGTTGTGTGGGATGGACAGGAATTTCTCATCTGCAATTAATTTCAGTATTTGGCACAAATGTATGTGAGAAGACATTTTCAAAAATAAAGCAGGTTAAATCTGCAAGTACATCAGGTTTAACTGATCAACATTTCCAATTTTGATAAGGATCACATTTTTGAGTGATAGTTTGACTTAAAAACATTTCATCAATTCTTTAAGATGGCTACTAAAAATATTGTATTACAATTTATGGTTATTCATAACTGAAAATCTTATTTAACCTGGTTTAAAATACTGTTATCTAGCTGGGGTGTGTGTGTGTGTGTGTATATATATATATATATATAAAAAGTGAACATAGAAGTCAACACTTGGAGGCGACAGTCTGTTTCATGCTAGATGTAATCGTCAGGCCACAAGTGCTGTTATTTTTCTCGGCTATTTATATACGGGTCAGTGGTGCATTGTGGGTAGTCTATTTTAGTGGTTATTTTACCGGAAGTCGTTTATTTATTTGGATTAAATTATTTTGCTTGTTTTTATTTATTTTTATTTCTTATCTTGTATATTTATTTTTATTTTAATTGGTGTTTTTATTAACTTAGTAAAAATTTGTTTATATCACTTTAAGTTTTGTTTTGGTTTGGGAAGATAATTAAAGCTATTTATTCAATTTTGGGGTTGATTGTTGTTTATTCTAACTATTATTTTGGCAGGAACAGTTTTTAATTTGTTTATTACTTCATGTATTTATTTGGATTGATTATCTTTGTTTTTTTCTAACAGTTTATCGGGATCAGTTTGTTAGTTTATTTATTTGGATGAATTTTGGTCAATTTATTTTACTTGTTATTATTTATGTTATACTATATATTTTCTCTTTTCAGTTTTCGATTTTTAAGTGATTTTTTTTTTTTTCTTGTTATATAACTAATAGCTTTTTTTTTTTCTTCCGATTTTTGGTTTGATTTTTATAGTCTAACTGATATTTTGGTCATAATGATTTGCTAATTTGTTTATTTACTTTATTTATTTGGGTTCATTGATTTTTTTTTTTTTTTTTTTTTCTTTATTTTGTCTATTCTAGCAGGTGTGATTTGGTAATTTGTTTGGGTTAATTTATTTTGCTTATTTTATTGTCATTTTGTTTATTTGTATTTTTTTTTAAGTAACATAGTAAAAATTTGTTTTCATGTCTGCATTTTGAGATGAGCTCGGATGTTTTATCTAATAATTTATTTTGCTCTGGGAAAGTAATGATAGCTATTTTTTCCTCCAAGCAAAGTTTGCAAGTTTTTGATTGGTTGTTGTAGGCTGATCTTTTCCTTATTTTCCGAGATATTTTTGGTGTGATCTGCGTTTTGTTTTTAATTTCCCAGATATACTTAGAAAGCATTGTGCTGTTCGCATATTTACTATTTGTGAAAGATGTTTTGTGTGTATAATTTCTTTGTTTCCAGGGTCCTTCAGTTACTCCTATGTATACTTCATTATCTGGCGATTTTTATCGTGGCTTGGTATATTACATTTTGTAAACAATTACCATTTAAGGGACATTCGTTCTTTATTCTGCAGTTGCACGTGGGTTTAATTTGTTCGTGTGGTTTGTTGATAATTTTCTTGTGCTTTTTTTTATTATTTGTGCCATGTTCTCGGTGCAACTGTAACTGATTTTTTTACTGTCTTTTTGTTGAATATTTTGTCCCAAACAAAACTATTAAATAAGCGATATAAACAAATTTTTACTACGTTAATAAAAACACAATAAATAACTAAATAAATATAAGATAAGAAATAAAAAAATAATAAATAAAAACAAGCAAAATAATTTAACCCAAATAAACGACTTCCGGTAAAATAACCGCCAAAATAGACTACCCACAATGCACCACTGATGCGTATATATATATATATATATATAGCCGAGAAAAATAACAGCACTCGTGGCCTGATGATTGCATCTAGCATGAAACACTGTCGCCTCTATATGTTCACTTTTATATTTACACATGCTCTCTGATATTGAGCACTATATCTCATAAATATAGCAAATCTTAAGACTATATTTTATTATATATATATATATATATATATATATATATATATATATATATATGGACACCAAAATTCAAGCTACCACACTACCCAGGTTTTGACTGTTAGGTCTCTTCAGGCAAAGTGTGCCTTCTTAAACGTGGCAGTTTACAGCCTCTTTTTACAATATATTTTATATTGTATTCTAAATTGATATAAAACAAACATTTTCTATCATTTAACTATGGAAGATATGAAGAGATAGAAATAATACTATGTTTTTGAAACTGGTATGGGAGGTAAAAATTAGTCATAGAATGGAATATAATAAAAGAAAATGAAGAAAACCAAAGATAAAAATTACAATCTATGAAGAAGCTGAAATTGTAGAATTCAATGAATGTGAATGGATTAATAAACAAAAGGAGGGAAATTATTTTAAACTGTCATTATTTTGATGCATTCCTTTTGAAAAATATGGAAAAGAATTAGATCTGTGGAATGTCTAAAAGAAACAAATGCCCAATGTGAAAAATTCTGTTAATGACTAAAGAATTGAAAATGTCATTTTGATATGTATTAAAACTATTTTTAAAAGTATTTAAAATAGATCAGTCTTATATACTTAACATTTTTCCACTGACATGAAGAAGAAAGATTATATTAAATCAATTACTTGGCTTGTTGAAAGGAAAATTGGTTCAATATATACAGGTTTTCTTGCTAGAATTTATCTTGCATATAAATCTACAATTTGTCCATGCACTGAATATTGGTCATATTTAGTCTGGTGCTTCTATGTATTTAGAGATTCTTGATAAAAATTAAAAAATCTGCAATGTTATTGGTCCTCATCTAGCATGTTCTTGGTTTCAGTTGTCTTCTCACCATTGTAAGATTGCTCTGTTCAGCTGGGGCTTCAGAATACGCTGACTGCACCTCTTCAGAAGGGTAACCCTCTCTTCAGAAGGGTAACCCTCTCTTCAGAAGGGTAACCCTCTCTTCAGAAGGGTAACCCTCTCTTCAAATGAGGCCACTTGTTTACCATAGGTGGCGACCTGTAATGTCTGGGGTTGGGATCCTGGTGGTTGAAGGATTCAGAGTTATTTACTTCTGATTCCTAACACACCACTTTGGCCCTTAGACTAGACGTGGGTAGTTGGAGAGGCTTCATCCAATAAATTGGCTGGTTATGACAAGCCCTAGTACCTATAACTATATCTATTTATGGAGTATCTTATAACTAAATGCAATACTCCAAATATACATCGGGATAAAATACCATCTCTATCCAATTTATAGGTGTTAGAAGGTAATGGCTGAGGGTCAATCAGTTCGAAGGGATCTAAACTGAATATGCCAGTTTGTGCATTTATTTGGGAAGTGCAACAAATGGGTTAACAGGTGCACAGTCTCTCTTGAATAAGAGTATACTGGGTTGTGTAGCTCTGACCTGTCAAGATGATTGGGTTTCCCCTTTGACATGTCTTAGTTTGGGGCTCCAAGGTGGGTGGGGAGCACAGGCAATGAATCTTAATACACAAAAATTATGAATAATCAAAATAAAAAAAACCCAAGAGATTTCTTTCTGCATTGATTCTGAAAAAGAAATTAATATGGAATTTCCAAGATTTTTTTGTGCTCATGTCTCTTGAAGAAACTTTTCTGGCAAAACTTTCCACTTACTTGAATAAAAAGGTACTATCCAGTAGGATTAATCCTAAAATAGAAAGCTGAGAGATGGCAATTTGCTGGTTGGGGTGGAATGTAATAAAGATGAAGACGTTTCGTAATATTAAAATTAAAACCTTCCCTCATGCAAGACTAAATGCTCGTAAGGAAGCCATTAGAAATAGTTGTCTCTGGTTATGCCTGAGGAAATTACATCTGCCTTAGGAAGCCAAGGGGTTAGCGATTACCATAGAATCTCAAAAGAAAAGGGGGGAAACAATTATAACTGACATCTATCCTTACTTTTGGCACATCTGAAATCACCCCCCCCCCTCCAAAAAAAAAATATGGTATAATATTAAGCCAGTGGAATTATATATCCTTGCTCCACTAAGATGGTTTAGGTGCCAAAAAATTGGACATCATAGGGATAGCTGCAGAAGTCACCTAACATGTGGAAAATGTGACTAAAGTGATTCAGACCATACTGATGAAGAATGCCATGATGAAATAAGAAGTGCTGTCAGGATAGCCATCCAGCAAACTCAAGAATATGCAATTTCTGGAAAAAGGAAAGGGAAATTGTCAAAGTAAAATATAAAAGAAACCTGTCATTTTCAGAAACAAGCCAAGTAGGAAAATGTTACAAGAAAAGCCCTTCCTATGCAAAAATAATGGAAAATAAGACTACAAATAATACCAGTCAGCCTGACAATTACAGAGCCTTCATTGAGAGGCTTGTATACTTGGGACCAAATGATTGGCCCAAATTTCAAACTTACCTAAAAAGTCTATATTCCAAGGAAATGGTTGCAGGTTGAACCGCAAAAAAAAGACAATAAAAAAACTTAAAGAAAAAACAAATAGCAAAATGACAACTCGAACACAAACCACTCCTACCAAAAATGCCAAATCTCTTACTAAACAAAAGTCACAGCAATCTTGTATCTGTCCACGAAAACCCAGGAAAGATAGACTGAAAAGCTTATCTCCCAAAAGAACAGTATCAGGCAAACAAAAGCCGGAAATTCACAACTATCAAATTCCTACGCAGAACTAATTTTAACGAACTAGAAAAGATGGAGGTGGAAAGTCGGGACTTTCAAATGGCTAAAACCTCCAAAATAAATCCAAAATGTTTAAACAGTCATCTAGAAGATAATTCAATGGAACTGTCATGGAATAAAAGCAAATATAAATGAACTGCTTCTGTTAATAACAGACCTGTCACTGGCAGTTGTTTGCCTTCAGGAAACATTCCTTTACCAAAATGAATATAAAAGAATACAACCATACACAGGACACTGGGCCTTGTGCATCTGGCAGTACATCTATCCTGGTTAGGAATGATGTATCCCAAAGTAAAATAAACTTGACAACTACTTTACAGGTGACTGCTGTTAAAGTGACCCTACATTGTCTTGGTACATGGAAACTAATGGCCTAATTGGTGACTACCAATGTGCTTTTAGGAAAGAAAAGTACCATGGAACACTTTGTATGTCTCAAAACCTTTGTAAGAGAACCTTTATTAAGAAAGAACATCTCACAGCAGTATTTTTTGACTAAAAAAAAAAATTGTATAATACAACAATGGAAATTTGGTATTTTGAAAGATCTACATCAAATGGGTCTAAAAGGAAGGCTTATTAATTCATAGGGATTTCCTAAAATACAGGAGGATTCAAGTCTCTATAGGAAGTTATGTTAGCAGAACTGCAAGATCAAGAAAAAGGGGTTCCACAAGGAAGCATTCTTTCAGTGATGCTATTTTGCATAAAAATTAACTCCATAGTTAAAACCTTAAGCCCAGGAGTGAGAAGCTCTCTATATGTCAATAATTTTCTAATTATGTACAGATCTTGGCATATGAATACCAATGAAAGATCACTCCTTCAATATATTAATAAAATAGACATATGGGCAACTGAAAATAGGTTTACATTTTCCAAGACAAAGATCAAATGCCTACATTTCTGAAAAATCAAGAAAATTGCACAATGATCCACATTTAAAATTAGACGGAGCAGAAATCTCAGTAGTGGAAAACCACAAGTTTCTAGGCATTATCTTTTATAAAAAGTTAATGTTCATTCCCTATCTAAAATATTTGAAAACAAAATGCAGCAAAACCCCACAAATCCTGTGTGTAGTGAATGAAAGCACACTCGACGACAACCCTCTTTACAAAAGTATGTCAACAGAACCAGATCTACAAAGTTACCTTATAAAGAATACATATTCTATCCATATTAATGTAAAAAATCTTGTTTGCATTAAATAACCCATAGAGATGTTGATATGCCATAAAGCAAACCAGACCAAACCATTGTAACATAACTCTCCTGTGCCTTTTCTATAAATACCTTTTGAGGTAATTTGTTCTGATGAATTTTCCTCTAGGGTACTTAGACTTTACAAATTGAAGTGCAGTACTGGATTTGCGGCAAGGATTCCTCATTTTACAGTTGAAAAGGTTAGTTGTAACTGTAAGTTCTATGCTAGCAGTTTCTTCTGTTGCACATCTCGCTTGAACTCTTTTCTGGCTTCTGGCATTCCAGTCAAGTTTGATCTTCAAAAATTTAAATGCAATGTCAATTGTTATCTTTTGTCTTAGTTCCTATTCATTTATTACTAGCAGTAGAGCCCGGCGTTGCCCGGGGATGTAACAGTAAGAGATAGATCAAGTATCGACCATCATAAAGACTGAAAAATAAAATTGTCAAAGATTGTTTAAGGTTGACGGACACACATGTCTTAGTTTTTTTTTTACAAATTTGTCAAACTCAATTAAAAACATTGTTTTTAATCGTTATGAGTCTACCGATTGAATAGAATTTTATTATAAATAATTGTCTTATAATTGGAATTTTTAAAGCATTCTGAATGTAAAAATAAAGAAAGTGTGCAAGACAACAAGAAACACTACCTGCGAAAAAAGTGAAGTTTTGTTGAAATCGGTTGAAAAAAAGAAATCCGATCCCATATATAAACGAACACACACCCACAAACAACCTAGGTTTTACAATAAGTATAACTCGATATGAGTTGTCCCCCTTTCATTCTCGTGATGCCTCTTAATCGTGTTTTCAAATTGATTTCGTGAAAAATGTAGAAAATCCGATCCAATATATAAACACACACACACACACACACACACACACACATATACACAACCTGGGTTTTATAATAAGTATGATTCTCTCTCCTTAATGATTTTCTTTCTCATATTCTTTCACACTCTTTAAATCCCCCACACACACACACACAGACAGATACCCCACCCCTTTGCATCTTATTGTCTTGGGGAGAAATGATTTAAAGAAGAAAAAAATATAAACAAATATATATAAAATTTTTTCCAAAACATTTGCCAGGCAATGAAATTAATGTTGTCCAGGGAACAATAAAACATTTAAACTATTTATATTTGTTTGGACTGCTGTCCTCATCTTTGTTGCCATATTCATGTTGTTTCAGCCATTGTATGCTTCTTCAGGAGATTGGAATTTCAAACCAAACCCTTTATTTCATCCATCAGGGTAAATTGTTCTAGTTTCATGTGCCATGCCTCTTCTGGATATCTCAGTATCAGTTATATTTATATATTTCTACTATTTATCTCTAAATGTGAAAAACATTTGGATCAAATTGTAAGCAGCACAATTGCTTTAATAAAAAAGCTAAATATTTTTTTTCTCACAAGTTTTGGTTAAAATCTTGAATGAACCATTAGCAAACATTTATAGGTTTTCTGTTTATTATTAAAAAAAAAAAATGATTTCAGAACTAACACAAAATCACTACAGCAATTGAGGGTCTGCAGGAATAACTTATTAACTCTTCTCCCTGACAATGTGAGGTGCGGTCCTTTTTTAAAGGCCCTTTCAAGCCTGATTATGTATACAGCTTTAAAAAAATGGTTTAGTTTCTTTCTTTTTTGGAAACTCTGGAAATGTTCACTTTATTATTTATGATGTAATATCATCTTTTTTTAATGACGTTTCTTTAAAAGTTTTATTTTTGGCAAATTTAACCTCAAAGACTGAATTTGTTTATTGATATTAATTACTTTGAATCATGTTATAATAGGTATTTGCTGTCAGTTCACTTTTCTAATGAAACGACTAGATCTTCAGCTGAAATAAATAATACACATGGAAATGTTTTTGTTTTGGGCATAGTTTAATTTTTCCTTGTGTTCTGACAGTCTCATTTCTTAACAAGAACAAATTTAAAATGTATTTTTTAAGACATAAAACTGAATTGAACAAATATTTTGGTGAGAAGGAATCCATCTTCACTGCAAGAAAATTTTTAACTTGTCCACTCATAGGAAATAAAATCTGTTCTTTGTGGATAAAGTCATTTGTATTTGTTTTTCCAGAAACTCATGGTTCAGTGTCCATTGTGTTGTGATTGGTTCAGACCAAAAGTTATAGAGAAGCATGCTGCCAACTGTGGGATAATTGCACCAACAAAACAGGATGGTGAGACCGTATGAAGATAAACATCTCTTAATCACAGATAAAATCTATTGATCATTTAATATAATTTAAACTTTTACTTATTGGTTATCTCTCCGTATTAAACTTGAGAAAAGCAAATGTTGCTAATTTAAATAATCATCTGTAATTTAGAATTTTTATAAAAACTGGAAACCATAAAGCCAGTTGAATAAAAATCCAAGAATTTTTCATATTCATTTTTTTTTTTTTTTTTTTTTTAAACCAGAGCAACAAAACCTTGTGGACTCAACATCCATTTGCAATAAGAAAGTGAGTAAAGATCCGTGTGATTTAAACCGTCCATCAGAGTGTGAAAACTCTAAAGCTGGCCCAACTAAAAACACAGAGTCTGTGTTGAAAACTGAAACTACACAAAATGTAGCTGCTGTTCAAAATCTGAATTGTCCAATTCTAATGAACAACAATTCCAAAGAATCTGCACATCAGCATTCAACTTCTCTTGCGTAAGTATTACAGGTAACTGAGTTTATTTGCAGAACAAGTAAATGGTAGAGTATTAGTTAATTAGGTGAGAGGTCTAAAGTGAAATTAAGGTTCGTTACTTGATGCTTGTGGAAAAGAACAAAAGAGCAACTTTTTTGTAGATCAAAAGAAATGATCCATTTCTCTTGGAGTCAGCCTTTTAATTCTAGAATCACTAAAATCGTAGGAATTTTAATGTTCTATGTCTCTTTGGCTGAAATGATTTTATTGTACTTGGAGGTTTTGCCAGGTTTTGTGAATGACCTACACCCTTGGCTTCAGTTTCAAGTTTCTAACACATTTTCTGTGGATTGATTCGTTTAACTTTTTCTTCTCATCCTCATTCCTTATCCAGCCAATAAAAACCTTTATCTTCTGTTTCTCTTAAATACTTAATTCTGACAAAATGAAAATCAAATTTGGAATCTCATATGATCTTGACATTTAATAAATTTCTTTTTCTCTTTGCAAATCTCACATCAAGTAATACAATCTTCAAATGTTGCAAAATTTCTTCCAACATAAAGTGCCTTTTGTCTATTTGGAGAATAGCTAAGGTGCACAACTCTGTTACAGAGCAAAAAATGGGACAAAACTGGCCTGGGCCTAAATGAAACATCACTGGCTTGTTAAGCCATTTTTATTGAAAAATGGAAAGCCTCAAGTTGGATGTTTGGTGCAAGAGTAAAAAAAAAAAAAATGTCTCTTATGTTTCATGGCTTCAAGTGGAGATGAGAAAGTTTGCTTTTTAACAAAGACTAAACACCTTCCCCATTTTTATTGGGATGTTATCTTGATCGATTTCCTGGCAGAGGGATTAGACAAATGGGGGGAAATGTTCACCAGATTTAATAGAATTTGATGAAAGACCATCTGAGATAATGCAAGATTTGTAGAAACAGCTTTTGTAACTGAAGAGAATTGTTACAAGAAGAAAAAGAAAAAAAATCTCCATAAACAAATCAGAATTTGGAACACACCATAGAATACTTTTCAAAAAAATTTTTTTTTTTTCCTCCAGAAAATGTTTAACATTTAGGTTATAAAGTATTCTGAAGAAAAACTGGAAACTTTATTGGGCATTGAAGAGACATTGTTTCTTCTCTGCTCATATCTCGCTTTTCCTTTAAGTTGTTACAATTTCTATAAATCACTTTCATGTGTTAAAAGTGCATTTTCATTTGCAAAGAATCTTTTATAAAATGTTGAAATTCTTTTTTCTTTCTGTTTAGATTTCGGTGTAAATTTTTGCAGAAACTGAATTTCAGTCCAAATTAAATTGAAATTGTTTTTGTCAAATGTTTGCTCATTAAATAATCATGGCAGTCTGTGATTGTCTGTCTCAGAATTTCAGTGTGGAAAATGATAACTTGTATAATTGATAGTTCCTTTATTTTGAGAGAGCAGTTAACCATATATGTTAGCACATCAATGTAATGTAGGAAAAATTTGTTGCAAGAGATTTTGAAGATGGACGTCTGTTTATTAGTTAAGAATTTAGAAAACCATTTTTTTTTTTTATCTGGACATAGAATGAAGAGACTTTAACTCAAAAAGTATGGGGTCTTTTCCATGTTTAGAATCCCCCCCCCTCCCTCTCAAAATACATCCTCCATAATTCATTGGTTGTGGGATTTACAAGGGGGGTGTAAGGAAATTCTCAGCCAGATCCACTTCCCAATCTTTGGCCAGGCGAATAATGATTAAATGATTTTAAATTCAATATAAAATAAGATTATCTTCATGAATAGGAATATAATTTAAACATTTAGATGAGTGGGTTTGTATTTTATTTATTATTAATTAGCCTAGAAGCCACCTTTTGGGTGGACTTTAGGTTAGCTCCTGTGGAGAGCTCTTAGGCCTTCTGCCTTTTACCTTCGATATCCTATGTACATAAAAGTTATAAGAATTTAGAAATAATTAAATTATCTTCATTTGACACCTTAATTTGTCTTTCTTTGTATCCACAATCGATCTCTGTAGTTTTATATTGTATGCAATTTTTATTTTCTTTAAAAATCCCTTCATATAGTCACTCATAAGACATTAGAGAACCTGAACTATGTAATATTTTGAATACATCACACTACAAGTGTTAGAAAAAAAAAAAAAAAAAAACTTGACCAACATACCATGCTTAAGTTTTAATTACTGTTTAATTTGATGATACCAATTGTGATGAAGAGTGTAATTAAACCGTCAATGAAGAATTGTTTTTCAAATCTTTCACTTTGTTCAATATTTAACTTTAAATGAGATTTAATTTTTAATCACATTACTTCAGGTTCATTGAGATTAAAAAAATGGATAGATGTACAGGTGTACACTGTGCTTTATTTATATAGATTGTAATGTGATGTTTATCTTAATGTCTTCTAACTTTCAGGTAAAACCAGAAAAAAGAAAATTGGAATTAAAAATTTATTTTTATTAAAAGAATAAAATAATTGAACAATTTCCTTTTTCATTAAACCAGACTCTGAATGTGTTTTGAATCTTTGTATTTATTTTTTTTTTTTTTTTTTTTTTTTTTTTGAGGCAAAGATTAAATGTAAATTTGAGAGCTTAGAATTTTCACTATAAACTGTATTCATTGCAGTTTTGAAAAAAATATTGATCATGGAAATTTTTTTTTTTTTTTTTTTTTTTTTAAGACTTTAAATTGAGTTTCATTAACACAATAGAAAAAGAAGTTATTTTTTGTTTTGTTTTTTTCCTTTTAGTCTTGAGGTGGCTCCAGTTGAAAATGGCCTGAGTGGACAGCAGACAAGTAAGCAAAATGCTCTTACAAGTTTGATATAAAAACTACTGAATAAATTGATGTGATGTTGAGATAATTCTGATTTTGGCCAAGAAGTCATGTGTCAAGAAGGCAAAGTTTTGAAAACTCTGTACCCTACAAAACACACCATCAAATTCATTATTTTAGACCTCTGCCCTGGCAAAGGATCTTTCTTTTTTCTTGACCAAGTGGTCATACATGGAAGCTTATCTGTGCAGAGCATTCGCATAGAATTAAATGAAATAAATTTGATCAATCAGAAAATGATCTCTAAAGTTGGGTTTTTTTTTACTCCTTATTTTAACAGTTGAATCTCACTGACTTGTACCCATCTCATAATGCCTGCATTTCATCCATTGGTTGATTCTTGTTTTAGATGAAGTAATAAATTGAAGCAAAGAGTAAAAATATTTTGTCCTTTTAGTATTTCTGAATTATTTTTTATCAAGTTATTTTCTGATTTTTTAAATATCAGTAATTTTTTTTTTTTTTTTTTTTCAATATCTTGATTTTTAAATGTAAAAATGAAAGTCTGCTTTGTGCATATAAGAACTAATTTTTTATATATTTTTTTTTTTCCCTCTTTTCATAAACTGTTCTTCCAGGAATGGAAACTGAATCTTCTGAGTAAGTCTATTTTCTGTATTTTATATTCTTCTCCCTGTGGTTTTTTTTGTTTGTTTATTTTTTTTTATTAAAGACCAAGTCCATAGTGTAACTTGTATACACTTCTTAACAGTATGGGAAGTGATGAATCTGAAACTCTGCCAAATTATATTAATTATAAGTCCTTAGCAAAGAAAAAATATAAGATGAAAAAAAGGATAGACTTTTTGAGCCAAATTAATTATGCTCCTAATCTAGTTTTTTTTTTTTTTTTTTCTTTGAATTTCTTAGACTAGAACAGGGAATAAGATTTGAGATTGGCCTTCAGTTCAGGGTGAGAGTTTTTCTTTTAGTAAAGAAAACAAAATCTCGTACACAAATGAACAGCTGTCATTTTTTAAATTGGCTACGATCCCAAAGTAATTACTCAAAATTTTCCTAGACTTGAAGATCAAATTAACAGCAAGAATTACCCCGTCTCTTAGAGAAGGAAAGTGCTGTTTGTACACTTTGTGTAATTGTCTGCCTGTTTAGGAATAAGTGTTTTTTTTTTTTTTTTGTTTTTTTTTCTCAAAGCCTTGACCTGACATTCCACTCTTAGTTCTTTAAACATAGAGATGGTTTGTCAGCTAAATAGATTAATCTTTGGCCCAATTCTTTGCAATTTCGTTTTTTTTTCATCTTCACTAAATATCAGGACATAACAAGAACTGCCAGGAACTGAAAGAATAGTTTTTATTTAACATTGTCATCTTTCTTTTTCAGCTTAATCCCAGTGCTGAAACGGTGTTTCATTTGTGATTTGTCATATGTTGATGGTAAACCTTTCTCGACTCATCTTCGCGCATGCCGAAAAAAGTATCAGAAATTAAAGAGACAATTTTCAGTCTTCTCTGAAGAGTCTGAGGAGCCACGACGCAAAACTCGTAGCCATTCCTTTCTTACAGACAACATGAAGAACTCTGTCAATTCAAACATTTGAGTGACTGTTTTTTTTTTTTCTTACATCCCGTCACATATCAATATGACTGTGTGCCTTAACAGTGTTCCAGTTTTCTGGCATGTCTTGCCTCTTCAGAATTATCTGACCCCCTGCCCCCAGACTGTAAACATTTACCCTGCCTTTTCAAAAGAAATAAAATTTGTTATTGTTGAGCAAAATAAACTTTATATTAAAGGAAATTTAAATTTCATCCTGAAAATAGACATTGGCAATGATTGTTTGTTTTTTTTTTTTTAAATCATTACTAGATGCAAATTCTTCAAACACCAGCTGAAATTTTATGGTTTTAATAAAATTGCCGACTCTGATGTGACACGAGAAGGTTCAGTGTTAATGATTTTACTAATTTTTTTTTTATTTTTATTATTTTTTTGAGCCTTGCAAACTTTGCATGAAATATGGTGACTTGTTCAGCTTTGCATATTGCAACAGATTTCTTGCATTAAAACTAAATCTGATTTTCTTGTTTATCCACACGTCTTTGAGGAATTTTCTCACCCAGAATTACAGAATTTTTTTTTTTTTGATGCATAGAAAATGCTATGACAAACTAAACAATGAGCTTTTATTTATATACAGGGTGCGATGGTTAAATTGTCATACATACACAGAGTAGGGTCAATTGAGCACCATCTGAGAAATAAAAAGCACCATGAAGCAATTGACTCCACCAAAAATTTGGAAACTGCATGCTGTACTGCTTGGCATTCACTATCAAAAGCTCCAATGCAAATATTTCAGAGTGTTTGGGTGTCAATCTGAGAAGAGCAGAGGTGTCTAATGGTGATTATTCTCTTATTTCTATTTTTTTTCTCTCTCTATATATATATATATATATATATATATATATATATATATATATATATATAACTCCTGTATTTGTTGGTGAGGGCCTCAGACTTGGCACATCACGTGCTTTGGTTCAAGAGGGTGGCTGCTGGAAACAGGACTATGCATCATGTCACATAAGCCAGAGAACCCAGTCATGGATGTCAGGCAATTTCTGCAACCATACCACCTCCTTACATCTGGTTACCTAACTCCACAGACTACAACTGCCTTGATTATTACGTGTGGGGGTGCAGTTGGTTGGGAGATCAACAAAACTCTTTATAACATCAAAGATGAACTGAAGGCAAGGATTATAGCAGCAGGAGACTGTCATAAAGAGTTGCAGAAGATTCTAAAGGCAGTGGTTGAAGCCAATGGTGATTTTATTGAATAAATCGACTCTTTGTAAATATGTTAATGTGATGTCAGTTTGTGTCATTTAGGCAACAATTTATCAATCTCACCCTGTATATATTTTCACATTATTCTATCTATCATAAAACCTGACACGTTTGTTGTCACTTGGGCTTTGTAAAAGATGTCCTGTAAATAAAATAAGCTGCTGACTATTTTCTGTTGAAACTAAACGTTAACCTCTGGTGGGGGTGAGGAGCGTTATTGGTACTGATAAATTTCATTAATGAAGATCTATAGGGGCAAGTGAACCAGCAAAAAAAAAAAAACTGAAGATGATAAAAAAAACACTTTTATGTTTTATTATCTGCATATTCAATGTATTGTTGCTGCACTTTGGCTACTTTTCGTTGTTCCTTCATCAAACTATGCGGACACTGCATTTCACACCAACTTATAGGAACCATCGTGTAACCTGCAATTGAAACAAGAAGTTAGTAAAAGAAAAAGATGAATTAACCAAATTTTACACTTGGTAAGAGGTGCTGAAAAGTTTTTGGCCTGACTGGGAAGGGAATTTAAAAACAAAAAAAAAAAAAAAAAATTTCTGTTTTGTGTGTGTGAGAGAGATGATGAGCATGGGAATTTTCTGTTTAAAAAAAAAAAAAGAACGGTCATGTTCCCAATCACTGAATAAATGTGAATCCCAACTTACCTGCATCACTTGTGGCTAAGACAACTCCAAGTTCATTTTCCGCTGTGGTCAGAATGTAGGAATGAGCATCTCCCAATGACAACTGAGAAAAATTAAGGATTCAAATTCTATAAAAGTAGACAAATTAGTTTTACTTACATAGCAGACAACTTTGTTGTTAAACTAAGATTTCACTTCTCTTATTGCAGAAATATTTTCTTTCTACAATGAGCCAGAAAATAGAAAAATATCCATTGGGAAGGCAACCCATAGAATTCTCAGAGAGACAGAAATATCGCATATTAGACATGCAGCTAGTAAAGTCAAAGATTAGAATTTTCTTATGGTTTTATGAGGATGATCTAATGTTCACATCAGAAAGGGAAGATGTGAGCTTACGAGGGGGAGGGTCAGTTAGTGAACTGAGAAACAATGTTTGGTAAAGGATACAACTTTGGCTACAATTATATCACCAGGTCGAAAACAATTGTACATCTCCACCTGGAAAAGAAACAAAAAACATGATTACAAGAGTAGAGAGATCAAGAGCTCTGAGGCTTTCCTTTTCCCCCTCATATACATTTGCATACTTGTCATTTCACACACATGGAGAGGATAGTAGTTGGATGACCTGCTGACATCTGTTCTTTCACTTCCTCCAAGAAATGATGCCCACTATATCCTCATAGAAATAAAATGACGAAAAGAAAAGAAACCCAAGTAAAATTATCGCCGATTCAGTTGGTTGATATAGTGTTAGGTTTCCGACTGAGGAAACCACAATCCAGAAATGGCATGCAACGCAACTTAAGAAACTGAAATAAGTAAGAATTGCTCTCAATGTGTGATAAGGTAGTAAACCACTATACAATTACTCCTTTATTTTAAAGTATATCAACCCTGGATGGGTCATTTAATGTTGTAGTTGTTGTACAGGACAAAAATCATAATGAAATAATAGCCTTTCTGTATTAATTACAATCAAAATCATTTTCATAAAATTTTTCCAATTTCAAAAGTAAACTCTTAATATGAAAACAATTAACATTTATAAAATTGAAGAATTAGCTTCAACAGGTAAAAATTTCATCTTTAAACCATTTCTTTGCTAACAAGGAGAAAATAATTATTGCTATACCAAAATAATGTCATAATAAAGGTTCCTTTAACTGTATCACATGCCAAAGCCAGAAACAGTAATTGTTAATATTTGTTTAACTATCAAATAAAATAAGCAACCTTGTGAAGAATCATTTAAAATGGAAATTCTTTTGACAAAAGCTTACATTGTATTATGACTCCTAAAATCATCGAACATAATGAAGTTGAAATGCTGACCATTGATAACTTTCGACTGAATCCCTCCTATTTAACATTACATTTTATTTCATGCGAATACTGTCAGTTCTTCTCAGCCTCTCTCCATGTGTGTGTTTGCGTATATGTACATGGCCCTGGTTCCCTCCTTAGAAATGATGACCATTTTCTTCTGTGATCTCCTCTCCCCTCTTGGGTAGATGTTTATATATCTGGCATGCAGCACATTTTTTTTTATGGAGGTTAGTAGTGGACATGGTTTCACTTTTCCCAATGTTGTTTTTATGTCTTTTATAAATGTTGGCTAGTCATTTAGTCAGTTGTAATTATTCTATTTATCCAGTTAATGACCTTTGCAAAATATCTATGGGTATAAAATGTTCTGAGGTTGGATTTCTACCATTTTTTTTTCTTTGATTTATCTTCATAATTTCCTTTTCTGCAATTTCACACAATTTGTTTACAGGATTTCCAGCTTAATTATTGAATAAAATTCAATGATTTTGGGACATTGCATAACAAACATTAAGAAGAGAGTGGTGCCAGAACACGGCTAAAGAGATGAGTGGACAAAAAACAAAAAAAACCAAAAATAGAACAAAAATGCATACAAATTGTAGAGTATAAACTCTCATTCTATACAAGGAAACATCTACTCCAAATATAAGACATGGTCAAGTTTATTTGTACTTCACTCAGGAATGAAAGAAGTAAATATTTTAAAATTTTCATAATCCTAGAAAACAACAGAGATCACATCGATAACAATTAGCATTTATTTTCAAACAAATTTTCAATCAAAAAAAAAAAAAAAAAAAAGAAGGTGTGTAAACATGTTATTTAATACATGTCAAGTTGCATAAGAAATTTCCCAGGTTTCTCTGAGATTAAAGCAGATGGATTGTGAATCCTGATGATCTACATGACAGCACATTCAATTGCCCTGTTGCAGTCTTCATCTCAGTCTTTCTATCAGTATCTTACATATTGTTGGTCGTATATATTTGGGTAAGTGATGCCCATATTTCTGGCATTTGTAACATCTTAAAAGAGGAGATATACATTGGCCCACTTTCTCAACAGTGTAACATACTTTGATTTCTTTTGGTATTTACAGACAGGAGGGTCGAGGGTAACTAAATCCTGTTTCTTTGAATTAGTTTGCTTCCTTTTAGTAAATTTATTTTTCTAAGGCTGGGGTTCTTAACCTGGGTTCAATCAAACCCCAGTTGTTTGATGAGTCATTCTTAGGCAATACGATTTCTCACACACCCTTAGGAGATAAGTACAACCTGTTAGAAGTTATTAAGCAAATCATATAAACTTCTATAATTCAAATTTGGTTTGAAAAAATATTGTAAAACTTTAAACAATCAATTTAGATGTCAAAACAAAGCCTGGGTTAAAATTTTAGTATCAATATGTTTTATTGAACTTATTTGATGTATTCTACACCCCGCCCCAAAAAACAACTGTCATCTGAAATTATTAGGCAAAACCAAATAATCACAATTTACTTCAATAATTTTGTCATTTATTTTTTTAGGTTCAATTTCTGATATGGTAGTTTTAATTACATTCCATAGGTTTGCTTTGCTGTCATAATTTCATCTTCACAATTGACCAAAGATTTCAATCAGATTCAGATCAGGACTTGATAGTGGCCATTCCATTATCTTCAGTCCTGTAATTCTTTCATGCTCAAATAATTCACAGGTAACCCCTTAGATACATGAAACGGAGCAATGTCGTACATAAATACACACTTCACTTTGAAACTGCAAGATTTGGACTTGTGCCATGCAAAGAAAATCTTGTTCATAAAAATTGTAATAGTTAGCACTGTTCAGTTTAACTGCTTCATCAACCTGGAATGGTCCAATAATGGTTTAGTCAACAATTCCAGCCCATATCATAACACTACCGCTTCCATGTTGCTTTCTTTTAGCTACAGGCACATCTGAATTGGATAAAATCCATCTTTTGGTTGGTAACAAAAGGAAAACTGCAGAAAGGAATTTTTCAATTAACCCCAGTAGAGAAATATAGCCACGAAAAAGAAGTGGCTTTATGTGAAACAATGGTGGAAGCAGCAGAGATAGTACCTATAACGTTGTTCAATCTGGCCAACAAGACGGTAAAATTAATGAAAAGGGAAGAGGTAGGAATGGTTCTATCAATAAGGTTCATAAAGTGGGTGAGATATGACGAACAGAGGAAGAGGTGACAGAATCAGGTTGGGGAAGTAAAAGAGGAATAAATAATAGCCCGTGAGGAATTTAAGGCCAGAATAGGTCGATTGCTGAAAGCCAACTGTGATGTGGTGACTAACATTTGACAAAGAATCCGAACAGACCCACACAGTAAAAATACGGATTAATACAGGCAATCAAGCGCCAATCAAACTAAGACTGTATAAGAAACCCATCTATAAGAGACCACTAGTGGAGGAGGTGGTTAAGGACATGCTAGAATTAGGAATGACTGAGAAGTCTGAGTCTCCCTGGAGTTTTCCCATAGTCGTGGCAGATAAGAAGAATGGGGGGGGGTTCAGACTCTGGCTAAGTATTTCTCAATGATAGACTTGAGGTCAGGCTATTGGCAGATAGCCACCCCACCATGAGGCAGATCATGAAAAGGCTGTGTTTGTATGCCACATGGGGTTATTTCAGTGTAGGGTCATGCCATTTGGGTTGGTCAATGCCTCTGGTATTTTCCAGCAGCTGATGTCAATAGTGTTGAGCAAAATGGAGGGTTTTTGCCATGGCCTATTTGGATGATATTTTGGTGTTTTCCAAAACATTTGAGGAGCATTTTGACCACTTAAGACAGGTGTTAGGATGGTTCAGGATACATGGATTGAAGTTGAAATTATTAAAATGTCAGTTCCTGAAAGAGGAAACAAAGCCTATTACCGGTGGTTCATCCCAGCATTTTCTAGGCTGGCTAAACCCTATGATAACATTGACCAAAAAAAAATGCTATATTTAAATGGACAGAGGACTCTCAGAGAGCATTTGACAAACTGAAGGAGCAGCTAACTGCAATACCTTTATTGACATATACAGACCTTAGCAAGCCAATGGTACTCTACACAGATGCTAGTGATCAGTGTATTGGAGCAATTCTTACACGGCCGTGCTTGGACAGGGATGGCCAAGTGCCAGGCGTACCGGTGGAAGTACCTGTATACTTCCTATCCCATAGACTCTCTGAAACGCAGCTGACATGGCCAGTGATAGAGGAGGATACGCCATTATGTATACCTGGAAAAAATTAGATTACTACCTCAATGGCAGTTACTATCAAGACTGACAACAAAACACTCCAATAATTGCTGGAAGTTGAATGGACTAACAAAAAGATCCAGTAGTGGGAACTAAAGTTGAGCGGGTACAACTTTAAAATAGAGGACCTGGCTGGATTTGCTGTCAAGAATCCCAAAGCAGTTGGAGGCAGAATCCGTAAGGGTAGGGCCAAGAATGTATGATAGGGCCTATCAGATACAGGTAATCAATTCCAATAGATTAAAAGACCGTCCTGTGTAGGAGCCTGAGACAGAAGAGACCACATAATTTGTGGTTGATTCTAACTCGAAAGAAACAATAATGGAATATCAGAGAGATAGTGAAATAGCTGCCCTCAGAGCAAAAGTATAAGTAGGTAATACCTTTAAGTATGCAGTGCATGGCGAAATGCTATATTAACTCTCAGGAAATGATGAAGAGGTAAGGCTCAGATTGTATGTGCCTATAGGGCTGAGAGTCAAAATATTAGAGCAAGGTCACATGGGGATCGATATAACCTGTGATCTGATAGGGAGAACCTATTATTGGCCTGGGTGATATAACGAGGTCTCTATGTACAGGGTTGCATGGTGTGTTGGTTCCAAGTAAGTATGGTTGTGTCAGTGCCATATGGAGAGACCCCAAGAGGAAATGTATACATTGTGAGCTTTGTGGATTGGCTGACAGGTTGGCCTGAGGCATATGCAATACCTGATAAGAAAGCCCAAACAGTGTCTGACGATATTGACAGAGATATCAGACCCTATAGTACAACTAGTTATGGACCAGAGAATGTAAATAAGATAATGACCGAAGCCTCGACGAGCCTGAATACAGTACATGTGACCACTTTTCCATAACATCCACAGAGTAATATGAAAGTAGAAAGATTTCATG